TCGTTTTCAGAATCAGTCAACAAAATTACCGATCATGTTGTCCATCGACACGATTGGTAAATTACGTCATGATTTACTGATTGTGCTAATGATTGACTAAACAACAAATAAACTCCCTTCCTCATTATTTCAAATCCTACTGACTGCAATATTGTAGTTCCTAAACTATTCAAACCAACCTACTCACTGAACAGTAACTTTAAGCTAACTTGAACACAGCAAAACTAAAAAATTGGATGCCCTCTGTGGTGGCAATGTTGTTTTCAATGAGCTGAAGTGGAGTTGTGGAGGGGATTAATGACTAGCTCATTGGATTACATGTCAGAGAGGAATTTATTTACTACTTAGCAACAAGATGGGGAATTTGCTATCACTGATAGTCAATGTAAAAATGTGCAGGTTATGAAGACAAACTTGTGAAGTTTCAGGCAAGCATCATCTTAATTGACATAATGTAATTTTAAAGGAGTGGGAAACAAAGTATTTTTTAAAAATAGAAAAAAGGAGTGACATTCTAAAGTGCTCCATAATAAAGCAGGTGGGTGCGTTCAGGACAGTCTGTCACAATGCATGGCTAGTTAAGGGCAAGTGGTAACTTGTGCTATATTGCTTCCTCTCTTGGCCACAGAAAAANCACTCTCATTTTATCTTTGGAAACAGCTTTCCCACTGCTAGGACCACCCTACCTGTTGGGGCTTTGGCTTGCAGGGCAAACTGGAGTTGAGTGGGAAGAATCCCTGCCCCCAGTGACTGCTCTGCCCTTCCAGGTCCCGGCGATGAGCCAGGATGGCTGAGCTGTCATCAGCAGTGATCACCACAGGGCTGGCTCGATTCTGACATTCCACTGACAAACATGTCACCTCGGAGCCAATTCAGCTTCAAGGAGACCCCATTTACCACTCCTCACACCCCCTTTCCAGGTTTGTCCATGGGCTCTCTCTGCCTGTGGATTAAAGTGCTGCATTTTTAAATCCAAAATTCTCATTTACTTTTAGCCTTTCCGTTCCTACTTAATAAAAAACTGCACATGATATGTGACGAGGGCTTCAGGTGTTACAAACATACATCAGGATTTAAATTGGATGAGCGCACGCTAGTGTTAGAGGGTATGAGGGAAGAGCAGTGAAATGGGATTAAGATGGATGGCCTCTTAGAGAAGCAAATACTGACACAAAATAATAAACTGAATTGCTTACTAGGGATCCATGGAAATAAATTGGTGATTTGTGGTCTCTATTTAGATTTTTGTTGTGATACTTAAACATGGTTTGGGGTTGTTGTTGTTCACTGCAGTAACCAGACTTTGTGTTTGATGATCACTTTACAAAGTGGCCTTAGCTGTAGGCTAAGGACCACTGTTTGCTTGACCTTCATGGACACCCTGGTGTTCTGCGCGTAACATTTTCTGAATTTCTCTTCCGAGATCCTGCTGAGCAGATAAATACACGGGGAGGGAGAGCAGAAGAGCATCAAAGACTCTGCGGCAAGACAACTTCATTAAAACCTTTAGAAGATTATCATTCGTTGCTTCCTTAGCAAATTGCATTTTGTTTTATGATCTGACACCTTAATAGTTAAGATACGTTCCACATCGTTTATCACTATCTGCCTGTGAGGCTATCAATCAACATGTGTGAGCATGTCAGTCAAGGAGGTGATGAATTTCTTGTCTAACTTGTGGCAGCCTCTGCCTCGGAAGATTACTTGAACACGGAGGTATTTAATCTTGCTCTGAGATCTATTTGTAGTGTGTTGCAGCATTGGCAGATTGTGGTGAGAAGTTGATATCAGTAAATGTCATATGCTCCAACTGTATTATCTAAGGAAAGAGATATGTGCACAAGACTGTATCTGCGTGAAACAGTCTATAGCCCAGACTGCTGATCGGAACTGCATCAAGTAACAGCAGCAGAGGAAACAGAAGCTCTCCAGTGAAGCAATGAGAACTGCGGCTGACTTACACTGGCGGAGGGCTTGCGTATCCCCTCAGCGGCCCAGAAGACCACACTCCCCTAATAACTGGAAGGGGATGTCACTGCAGCATGTCACTAGTGACAGGCTCTTTCAGAACAACAGTCAACAATCCTTATGATCCTCGATCCAACACGTGGCAAAAGCCTTGTTCAGAAGGGCCAGAAATATCATCCATTTACACAGAGAATCGGAGTGTGACAAAGTGCAGGGAAAACAGATGAACCCACGGAACTTGGAATTGCAGATCACCCACGTGTGGCAGTAATAGTAACCAAAGAAGCAAAAAACGTACAGCACAAAAGACTATTCGAACATTGTGGAGTCCTGTAGCTCAGTGGTTAGAGCATCTGCTTTGCAAGTTAGAGACCTGAGTTCAATTCCAGGCAGAGCAAAACCTTGGGCAAGTTTCCTTACTCCACACAGAGCCTAATAATAATCCCTCCAAAAAACAAAAACAATAATAAATTGGTCATTTTCAATCCATGACAGTTTGTGGGACATTGCTGTGCGCAATTGGCTGCCGCGTTCGCCCACAAATATACAGTCAATTCACTTTACAATATATTCTGTGAAGCGCTTTGGGACATCTAGAAGACGTGAAAAGCGCTATATCAAATGCAAGGATTATTATTATATGTTTCCCCTCCCCAGGTCCCGGAAACAGCTACCAATTTATTCTCATTTCCCTGTCCTTTCCCATTCTCTTTAATATTTCTCCTTTAGAAGATTGTATCATGGCAAGCTTCTCCCACAAGGAATGATGCTAACGGACATATGCTGTAGACTATTCACCAATAAAGTGATGTGGACTAACATAGCATCATAGTGCCCGATCGGGAAGCACACTGTGATTTACACCACTCTGGTTGTTAGGGTTGTAAATGTCCTACCAAGGACAATAACAGGCCAGTTAAACATATGTTAACATTTCATGGTCAGCAGTAACTAGCGAGTGTGTGACCTCAAGTCATCAGTATTTTGTCAGGACTACCAATGCTTTAATAATTAGTGCACTTAGTTTAAATGTGTTAAACACATTAACATGCTGTGTATTGAGCTGGCCATGACTTTTGTACCAAGGAACAGATAACAAGATCACCACATGGGACAATCTAAAAATGTTGATAGTTGCAATATGCTTATAATGTCATTGCCAATAGCGCCTTGGGACGTCTTCCCGACGTGAAAGGCACTATACAAATGTAATTTTGTTGTCGTTGTAATAAATTTCAGAGTGCTACAAACTAAGATATTTGGTTCCGTCTCTTCCTTGAATTCTTCACCGAAAAGTTGTCAGCACATTTGCATGAAATCTTTTCTGAATACTGCACAACCCCATTAATAACCTCCTGTTTTGCTTACGTCACTGGTGTCCTGTTGTCAGGTTATTTTAACAATAACAATAAGTTATTTAATCATAATAATTTTTTGCAACAACAAAATAACAATTTCCTGCGTATCCCATGCATGCATGCAATGTGCAGGAAGTGCTGTTGATATCACTTTTTCCTCTAAAAAATAGCACACATGAAACCACTTCAGCAGCAACTTAATGACCCAGAAGTCGGCCATTTTATCGTACTTTCCTTATGGTGCAGTTACTGAGAGATTGAACCCAGACGGCAGCTCAATTCTTCCCACTGACTCCCTGCCTTTCCTGAAGCGCTGGCTCCACAGTAGCTTCTGATTTGTCCATTTGCATGGATAGAACATTGCATTTCATAAGTGGTGACGTTCTTTCATATACAGCATGATGTCACATGTCAGCAGCCCTCAGGCATGAAGTTAAATCAAGTTAATGCTGGCCAAGAGCGCTAATCTTAGTCTGCTTCAGGTCTGCTCCCAACAGGCTCCAACAAACGAATGGGTGTGCTACAATGCGTGACACCCTGTGGATACTGTGGATGATCACTGTGTAAGAAATGCCATAATGCCATTGCTCCACTATTGGCAGGTGGCAGTCAGAGATTGGGAGAAAAGCATCTGGGTAGTGATGATGGGTGCAGGATCTTCACAAAAGGTGGTGAGGAGAATTATGTTGTATATTAAGTTGGCTCGATTCAACAGCTCAACATCTGTGTTTTAAACAAAGTGATGTAGTGGCACGTCCTTCATACAGTGCATAAGCACAGCGCACAGGGCCTGTTATCATCCCTGACTTGATCTATGAGCCCTGGAAACTGGGTGTCCTGTGCTTCTAGTTAGCATGGGTCCAAAGGACACCAACGCTATAAGCAAGGAGACACTACCGAAAGTTACTATCACAGGATTCCCCTGTACTTAGCTGCTGTGAAGCATCAACGATTGACTGCATTTGCTTCCAAACACAACGATGGAGCTGCCATTGCTTTGCCAAGTTTAGCCAAATCATCAGCTTCTTCAGTACTTCTTCAGTAATTTTTTAACTTCCAGTTAATAAGTGTTCATTCTCGGTCCTAAACATGCCCATTGTAATCATTAATATTGTGCTCTAACAGCATAGTAACTAGCAAACCATCATCCGTCAGCAAAACCTATACCTCAGATTGTTGCAAAGCACTGTTTAAATCATACAATTTAATATTAGCCAGAATCAACAAAATCACTTGGTAAATACCCAGAGCTAGAGTAACATGAGTGGAAAGTAACCACATTTATTACAGTACAGGGTATTTTAGTTTAAAAAGTTTGAAGAATATATTGATTCATTTATTGTTGAGCATTTTGGTGTCCCCCACAAATTGGTGTCCCACAAATCAGCGCTTCCCCCACCCCTCCATGAATCAGCGCCACTATCTTGGATGACAATTTCAGAGAGCCCATCCACCGATATTCCAGGTATTTTAATGCTATGAAAATCAGTGTTGGACAGCTGACATAATAGCACAACCACTGCATGTGAATCACTCCTATCAAGAGCTTTCCTGTATTCTGCTCAGATGTCCTTGGTTAGTGTTTGAGGTTTTGCAATGAGTTAGTTATCCATCTTGCTACATATCTAACTCAACACAACTCTATAAGTGAACAAAACAGAAGTAGTAACTTACCTCAGCTGTGCTCTTGATCACATTGCCCATGACAACAATGACACGACCCCTGAAACTCTGCAACATGGACGTAGCCGCACACTGAATCAGCTCACCGTCAGTACTGAAGGCAGAATTATAAGAAATATTTATGCTGCCGTTAATGTGGCCACGATTGAATCTGGAGTAAACGTGGTCAAGGAAAAGTTTTCTTGAGGAAAAAATTCCTCAAGGAATTTGTTTTGGTATCATCTATTAGCATGTTAAGCTGAAAAATATTTACATAAATTGATTGAATTATCAAAGACTCTCGTTACGTCAGCTATTGAAACAATGCAGACTACGCAACACTGCGTCAATATTTAAGTTTTGTAAAACATATTTCTCCTATAAACACTCAGTTATTTATTTACAATGAACCTCACAGGTATCACATTTTATTAAAGTTTTATTACTTAGACTACATTGCTTCCCCTTTTTCAGATCACGCTTGAAAACCTTCCTCTTCGACCGTGTTTACAGTCGCCTCCTCTCACCCCCGGACTCGGTGTCATGCTCAGTCACTGTTAATCGCTCCGAGACGCTACCGTGCTTGGAGGCTGCTATATAAATACAAGTCATTGTACTGTTGTTGTAACTTTCGTATCATTTTGGATTTTCATACATTTTAATATGATATTCTAGAGAACATCATAAAGGAAAATATTTCCTTAACAAAAGCAGGCATTCAGCAACGTGTGTGAGGAAATGGAGCAAAAGTAACGGTACAAAAATTATGTAGATATGGAATATTATAATTCATATGCAATCTGAAATAGACAAGACGCTTGCAAGCAATCAAAACCATCTTATGCAAGCTCCGTTACATGTTATGTACAATGAACTCCCTGATCTCAGCAGAGATTTGGTTGTGATTAGTAGAGAAGTGTGAGCATTAATAATATCAACTCCTGTAGAGCAAGTACTCTGCTGTTAATTCTGACATTTTAGTGTTATGGGAGTGTAAATAACAAAAGTGGGTGAAAATCTGTAGTAGGGAAATTTGGGCTTGATAAAATAAAAAAAAGTGAAATTATTAAAATTAATATTGGATCGTGACAGTTTGAAAATCTGAGGCTTGTGAAAAATGATAGTGATTAAAAAGTGAGTTAAGATTTCCAGAGGACATTGCCAGTAAATGGGTTTACTTGTAGCACTTTGTCTCATGGTGCTTTTTCCATTGTGGAGAAACTATTTGTGCACCACATTCTTGATGAGCCCTTTTATAACCTAATTAGCTGGACCGGTTGCAACTTTGCTTGCAACCAAAGGATGCAATATGGAATGTAGATTGACACATAGACATTTCATCTTTATCCATACTCATCTGGAAAGACTCCTGTGGGAGGACTGAATGGGAGGACTTGGCGCTTTAAAAATGTAATTTTGTTGTTGTTGCTTAGTTTCGTCTGTGTTGTTTATTTTGTTCCCGGCGCTTGGCTACGGATGGAGGGAGGGAGGCAGGTAGGCAGGCCGGCCATGGCAGGCAGGCAGGCCGGCCATGGCTGGCAGGCAGGCCGGCCATGGCAGGCAGGCAGGCAGGCCGGCCATGGCCTGAATAAATATTCAACATAACCTCCTGACTTTTGAATTCTATGCCCTATTTTTAAAACCTAGTATCCCATATGCCAAGGAAGGGAATATTGCTACTTATTCATTTTCTTTCATTTCTAGTTCTCCCTAAATTTAAAACGTGATTGATATCATAAATGTGGCAGGAAAATTCAAATGTTATTAAACAGCATGCTCTTCTGTATCGGCAATAGGTAGATTTCTTCTGGTAGCGTGAGGTCTGAAGAATATAAACTAGAACAAACCTCAGAGTCAACAACCTTAATTTGCTTAAGGTCTGGGTTCCAAAGCAATGTACAGTAACAAATGCAAGTGATTATGTCACAGCAATAAACAGTATTCTTGGCCAATAGCTTCCAAAGTGCTGTAGTTAAGAGATCTGAGGAGGAATCCAGGAAGGTACTTGGTTACGTTCCCATTGATGCCACCTATGCTGAAATGATATTCAACTACTGTAGATTTCTGAGCTATACTATCCTGGCGACCATTCCATATTTTGTGTCTTGCCACTGCACTACCAAGTCCTGCTGTTCTTTTCTATCTGCCCATGAAGGAAACACTAACTCCCTGCTCAAAAATTCTACCAATAAACTAGTGAAAGCAGCTACCCTAAGTATCATCATGTGGGAAGTTGCTGTGCACAACACAAAATTACCATTCTTTTTGCCTAAAAAACATTCACTGTATCTGATAAATGAGTTTGTTCAGACATGAAAAGACGCTAGGAAACTCAAATTTTCTCTTCTAATCTACCTATGTGTATATATGAGAGAAAGGCAACAAGCTAAAAGACAACCATATATTGAATTTTGAACTGCGAGTGCTGAAAATGCACCTGCTTTCAAATGTGACACTTCATCACAAATGCAAAAAGAGTTTCTGTGCCTTTCCAAGGATATATCACCTTCAAAAGAATTACTCTGTAATTAATTCTCCGTGAACATCTTGCACCCGCTAACTGCACTTTAATTACCTCCTTATTTCCAAGTACTAAAGTAAACAAACATTCCCTAGTGTGGGCAGCGAACAGGACTCCTGGGGAGGAGATGGGAGGATGCTCTAATAAGGGTTATCACCCCACTGCTTTCATCTGCAGCTTACCATCCACAAGAGCCTGGAAATCTCACTCATGAGCAAAACGACCAGTTCTTCCTTTCTAATTACTTTCACAGTAGTTATTTCTTTAGAAACACAAGTACCTTGTAAAAATGAGGTTTCCTGTGCAATGCATCTAAATGTCAACACCAACTCATGGTGCCTTTTCGGAAATTGCCAACAACTCAACGTTGACAATGCATTCATAGCAGAACGCCTGACAATGTCCAACAACTGAGATAACAGATAGGATTGAAGACTATGCTAAAGGATACGATGATGCTTTATTGGCATGCGGTTTCACGAGGAGTATATAATTCTTACTCACAACATTGTTCACCAAAGGTGATGGGCTTAAAACATTATCTCACATTCTTCTCTCCATAGATGCTGTCTCACCTGCTGAGTGTTCCCAGCGACTTCTATTTTTATTGCCTACAATGACTTATATAGCGCTTTTTGCGTATTTAAATGTCTCAAAAGATGGAATGGGAGCCCGAGGAAAGTGAAAGATAGGAGGGAGAAGACTAAAGGTGCAGTCAAAGAAGTAAGCTTTTAGAAGGATATTGAAAACAAAGGGTGGATGAAAGGCAAAGTAGTTCAGTGATTCCAGGGAGCATGGACAAGGTGACTGAAGACAGCCTACTGATAAAGCGTATGGGGATGTGGAGTAAGTCCGAGTTGGACACAGTGGAGGGAGTACATATTGAGACATTCCAAAGCACTTTATAACATTTTATTATAAAGAGTAGTGACTGTGTAGTTGTAGGTAAATACTAATCAAATTGTGCACAGCAATATCTCATAAGCAGCCATGAAATGGTTGATCAATTTTATGTGGAGTTTGTTGGCAAGGACACTGCAAGATATGCCCTTCTCTTTTCATACAGTTGTGCTATGGGATCTTTAATATCCCCTTAAACAACCATTGGTTTTTGTCCATCCTAAGGACAGCACCTCTGACAAAGCATCGTCCTCCTATCACTTCACTTGAGTGTCAGCCCAGACTGTGAGTTCAAAGACCTAAGTGGAGCTTGAACCCACAACATTCTGACTCAGAGACGAGAGTGTTAGCAAATGAGCCAGGCTGACACAACTCCAATCTCAGAAGAGTATTTCCACTGCATTGTCTCAAATGCAAATATTGCCACAGTACTTGGTATGGCTATTTATTGCTCTCAATCTAAAAATATAACCTATTATATTACAGCAAATGCAATGAATAATAAATGATTTAATATAGTTAATATGCTGCACTTGTTTCGTAGTGCTGTAGCACGACCACTCTTTGTCGGGTATGTTAATGAAAGTATGTCAGTTATGGAGAATGCAGAACTATTGCAAAAATGCAATTTTGCAGCATTTCGAGCTTTGTCTCTTATATTAACCCAAAGTCAAAGAAGTAGTTTAAGATGGCCAATAGTTATTTCAAAAGGCTAATCCATCCATTCCTGCATTGTGTCTCTTGGGCCACATTCTCTCGATCTGACTCTTTCAGAACATGGAATGGGGTTACTCAGCACTAAAGGCAGTGACAAGAATACATTATCTTCAGTTTCCAACCTCATATTGAGGTTAAGGGACTGGACCTGATAGTGAAGTGATTTTGTTGCAGGAGTGCTCAGGAGCAGAGCTTAAAGCTGATGTTAGCTGGGGAAGGCAGGCAGGGCTTTTGAGAGTTGTCATTGCTTGTAATGCGAGATCTGTATGTCCACTGTACCAACAATACCTAATATCTGTAATATCTGAGATAGACTTCTCTGATCTTTGTCGCGTATGCGATTCAGAGTACATGTCAGAGTGACAGAGAATGCATACGTGAAAGAGAGAACGATACTGGGGACAAGCAGAGTGAGACAAAGAGAGAGAGGGAGAGCAAGCTGGCAGAGTGATTAGGGTCAGCTGTTAAACTGGAAGCAATAAACATTGAACGTTAAATACAGGAAGCAATTTATCAAAGTGATATACAGTGGAACCAGAGCTATTGTTTTTGGTGCAGTGGACCTGCACACTACAGTAGTTTGAAAGTTTCAGCCATCATCAGTACTATACAAAGAGTTATTGCAAATATTAAATTTTGCATGAATGAGAACCACAATTTAGCTGCTATATTCTGTCACTGCGTTATTCTGTTTGTGATGATTCATTGTTACCTGGTGCATCTCATAAAATTTACAACTGGAAAAGTCTTAAATATTCCAGGTCAACTTTTTTCTTACTCGCAGCATGTGCAGGTCTACAACTTGGTTCAGTTCCCTGAGCTCCCAATGAGAAATTAGACTAGCTTTTATTTTCTAACTCTAATTTTAACAACCTTGATAAAGACGCTCCCCAATTTCACTCTGAATCTCTCACAACACTCTGGTAATCATTTGTTGTCATATTTCCTGTCACTTGGTATCAACAGATTCTGGCACAAAGACCATTCCTCTCACCGCCACTAAAAATAGAACGTGGAATTTTGGTTGCAAAATC